GGAGACACCTGTAGAGCACCTTTATAATCACCCAGTTACGTTGTGACGTTTGGTAGCACACAAAGTGTTCCTCCGGCACACGGGAGTTACATAATCTCATAGTCATAGGAACATGTATAAGTCATGAAGAAAGCAATAGCAACATACTAAACGATCGGATGCTAAGCTAATGGAATGGGTCATGTCAATCAGATCATTCAACTAATGATGTGATCCCGTTAATCAAATGACAACTCCTTTGTCCATGGTTAGGAAACATAACCATCTTTGATTAACGAGCTAGTCAAGTAGAGGCATACTAGTGACACTCTGTTTGTCTATGTATTCACACATGTATTATGTTTCCGGTTAATACAATTCTAGCATGAATAATAAACTTTTATCATGATATAAGGAAATAAATAATAACTTTATTATTGCCTCTAGGGCATATTTTCTTCATACACAACCATGGAAGAGTGGATTCACCTCGAAGCCGGTCATGGTGTTCCAAGTGTTCTACCTAAGTGATCGATTTGCCTCACCATAGTAGCAAGCCAATATCCAGTCCTCCTTCCCCGGTTCGGCCGCCCATGCATCAATGTGATACCGGGAGAAGTTCTTAACTCTGAAATTCAAACCATGTCTCCAAAACACAGCCAACCTTCCGCTTCTTCCACTCCTGGCTACCGCAAAACCACCCTCAAAACCCAACATAGACGTCAAACCTTCCACACGCTGTTTTGACAATTGCGTTTCCACAATGCAAACCACCGACGGCGCACACTCCTGAATGAGCTCTCGGAGCTCACGGACTGTCACGGGGTCGCCAATCCCGTGGCAGTTCTAGCACAAGGTTCTCATTAGGCTTGGCGGCCATCCATCTGGGATGTCGCCTCATTCATTGGGTCCTCTACATCTTCGTCTTCTCCTTCCCCCTGGCGCCTTCTCTTGACAATTGGGTTCTTACCCGGTGTACAAGTAGCAGCAACATGTGTTGGAGGAGCAGCCTCGATCTGCAATACTTTCTCTGCCACGGTACCCGGATGTATAGGCACACTAGGATGTCCATGAACATTGATTGTCCCATCTTGGCTTACCAACCTTTTCCTTGCTCCCCTCGGCACCACCTCACCGCTTAACCTGACATCTTGAGTAGAATACTCCATGTCTGAATGTGCATTTAGTCCACGGTCCAGGTTGGCTCGGCCACCACCTCCACGTCCCCATCCTCCTCCTCTACCCCTAGGTTCACGGCCTCCCCTCTCCCCACCACCTCTCCCTCCTCCTCTTCCCACATTCTGCCTTGGCACAGAGTTGTCAAAATTCCACAATAGCCACTCCCCCCATTCACACTCCCCCCATTCACACTCTGCCAGCTCGGATCCGTGGCACTTTTTGGTTGCGGGACTTCTTCGGTGAAAGGATCCTCTTGAACTGATGGTGTGTGGACGTGTTCCAGAAATACATTACTGGGAATGGCTTCTCTCTTGGAACCTATTTTTGCTAAATCATGAGCTGCTTGATTTTTCAGTCGGGGTATATGATGCAGCTCTAACCCCTCGAATTTCTTCTCTAGCTTTCTCACTGCATTGCAATAACCGGTCATGGCTGGACTTCTGACGTCCCACTCCTTCATCACTTGATTCACCACCAAATCTGAGTCGCCATAGACCATGAGGCGACGGACGCCGAGTGAAATGACCATGCGCAACCCATACAAAAGTGCTTCATATTCTTCTTCGTTATTGGAGGAATCAAAGTGGATTTGGAGAACATATCTGAGCTTATCTCCTCGGGGGGAAACCAATACTACCCCAGCACCAGAACCATTCAGCATCTTAGAACCGTCGAAGAACATGGTCCAGTGCTCTGAGTGAACTTGAGTCGGCAGTTGCTGTTCAATCCACTCGGCGACGAAATCTGCAATTGCTTGGGACTTGATAGCTTTCTTTTCCTCAAACTTGATATCTAGGGGAAGGAGTTCAATCGCCCATTTTGCCACTCGACCAGTTGCATCTCTGTTGTGCAGAATCTTTGACAATGGAGCGTCGCTGACGACTGTAATGGAATGGTCAAAGAAGTAATGTGCAACCTTCTTCGTGGTCATATAAATCCCATATACAAGCTTCTGATAATGAGGATATCTTTGCTTTGATGGGGGTCAAAACTTCAGAAACATAATATACCGGGCGCTGAACTTTAAAGGTTTTTCCTTCTTCTTCCCGCTCGACCGTAAGTACCGAACTGACAACTTGTCTCGTGGCTGCAATGTAAAGCAGCAAAGGCTCTTTGCTGATTGGGGCAGCAAGCATCGGCTGGGTGGAGAGCAGGGCTTTTAGCTCTGCAAACGCTGCATCAGCTTCGGGAGTACACTCAAACTTGTCTGACTTCTTCATCAGTCGGTAAAGAGGCAATGCCTTTTCACTGAGACGAGAAATGAATCGACTTAAAGCGGCCAAGCAACCAGTAAGCTTCTAGACATCGTGCACACGCACAGGGCGCTTCATTCGGAGTATAGTACCAACTTTTTCTGGGTTGGCGTCGATTCCTCGTTCGGAAATGAGAAAACCGAGTAACTTTCCGCCAGGAACTCCGAATGTGCACTTTGATGGGTTAGGCTTGATATCATACCTCCTGAGGTTGGCAAATGTCTCAGCAAGGTCAGTTAGCAGGTCGGAACCTTTCCGTGACTTGACCACAATATCATCCATGTATGCTTCCACATTCCAACTGATTTGAGTGAGCAAACACTTCTGAATCATCCTCATGAACGTGGCTCCGGCATTTTTGAGGCCGAATGGCATGGTAACATAACAGAAGCACCCGAATGGAGTGATGAAAGCTGTTTTGATCTCGTCGGGACCATACAGACGGATCTGATGGTAACCGGAATAGGCGTCTAAAAAAGACAGGCGCTCGCATCCCGCAGTCGAGTCGACTATCTGGTCGATGCGGGGGAGAGGAAAATGATCTTTCGAGCAGGCCCGATTGATATGTTTGAAGTCAATGCACATGCGAAGTGACTTGTCCTTCTTGGGGACCATGACAACATTAGCAAGCCACTCGGAGTGGTAAATCTCTCGGATAAACTCTGCTGCTAAGAGCTGAGCCACCTCCTCACCGATGGCCTTTCTTTTCTGGACGGCGGACCGTCGAAGATGTTCTTTGACCGGTTTCACTTTTGAGTCGACTCGTAGACGGTGCTCAGGCAGCCCTCTGGGAACACCCGGCATGTCAGAAGGCTTCCATGCGAAGATGTCCCAGTTCTCACGGAGGAACTGGATGAGCGCTTCTTCCTATTTGGAGTCGAGTGTCGTAGAGATATGAGTCGGAGCAGCACTGGGGTCGGTCGGGTGAATATGAATCGTCTTCGTCTCACCAGACGACTGAAACGCTGATTCCGTAGCGGGTTTCTTAGCTCGCAACAAATCACTCGGGTCTGTAGTTTTCTGGTATTCCTGCAGCTCTACCACTGCCATCTGAGCATCAGCGATCTTTGAGCCTTTCTGAAAGCACTCTTTCGCTTTCTTCCGATTGCCGGTAATAGTGGTCACACCTCTGGGACCAGGCATCTTTAGTTTGAGGTACACGTAACATGGTCGAGCCATGAATCGTGCATAAGCTGGCCTGCCTAGAATAGCGTGATAAGCGCTCTGGAAGTCCACAACTTCAAATGTCAACTTTTCTTTGCGGTAATTTTTGGAATCACCGAAAACCACATCAAGAGCAAGTTGGCTGAGTGACTCAGCCTTCTTTCCAGGAATGACTCCATGGAAGCTCATGTTGCTTGTACTGAGTCTGGACATCGGAATGCCCATCCCTTTCAACGTCTCTGCATACAGTATATTCAGGCCACTGCCTCCATCCATCAAAACCTTGGTCAGTCGAGTGCCTTCAACAATTGGGTCGACCACCAATGTTTGCCTCCCCGGGGTGGCTATGTGCGCCAGGTGATCGGACTGGTCGAATGTGATGGTAGTCTGAGACCATTTCAAATATCCGGGTGTCGCCGGGGCGACCATATTCACTTCTCGGTTGATAACTTTCAATCGACTTTTTCTTTCAACACCAGCAAAAATCATCAGGGTAGAATTGACCTGGGGATACCCATCATCACTATCTTCCTTGTCCTCAACTTTGTCCGACTCCTTTTCCTTATCTTTGGGTTGTTTCCCTTGGAACTGCTGGATCAAGAGCCGGCACTGTCGAGTGGTATGCTTCGGATAAATGAGTTTACCCTCTTTATCTTTCTTTGTGTGAATGTGACATGGCAGATCCAACACATCATTTCCGTCTTGGTCTTTCACCTTCTTGGGGTTCCAAGGCCCTTTGGGCTTCCCCTTGAACTTTCCTTGAGTCACGGCCAAGGCTTCTCCAGGAGCAGCTGGCTCGGCTTTCCGCTTCTGCTTCCGACTGGAGTTCCCTCCTCTGGTTTCGTGGGCGACTGACTTGAGCTTGCCACTCCGGAGCCGATCCTCTTCTTCACCATTGGCATACTTGGTGGCAATCTCCATCATTCGACTCAGAGACATGTCTCCGGTTCGACCGAATTTTAGGTTCAGTTCTCTGTACTTAACGCCTTCCTTGAAGGCACAAACTGCTTGGTGATCAGATATGTTCTCTACTATGTGATGCAATGTAATCCATCTCTGGATGTAGGCCCTCAAAGTTTCATTCGGCTTCTGCACGCAAGATTGCAGCTCTGTCAACCCTGCTGGTCGCTTGCAAGTTCCTTCAAATGTCCTGAGAAACACTCGGGCAAGATCTTCCCAAGTGTAAATGCTGCTGGGCGCTAACTGATTCAGTCATGCTCTGGCCGAGCCTTCCAACATAAGAGGCAGGTGTTTCATTGCCACTTCATCATTACCGCCGCCAATCTGAACAGCCACTCGGTAATCCTCAAGCCAAGTATCAGGCTTGGACTCACCAGTGAACTTACTGACTCCAGTTGCCAACCTGAAGTTGGGAGGAATCACCGCGGCTCTGATGGCTCTACTGAAGCACTCCGGTCCTGAGACATGTACTTTGCTGCTGGTGGGTACATCTCTGTCTCGACCTTCTCGGTGGGCTATGTTCCTGTCGACCAAACCCTGAACGAGAACGGATCTCGCATCAAAGCCTGGCTCCCTGGGGTTGACTGGAATCCTTCGCCCAACACTGTGAGGGCGTTTGTCATCCTGCCGTCGAGGCACGTACGATCCACTCCTCGGGGGAGGGGTGGGTACTCGACGTCGATCATCCCGACCGAGTCGGTGATCATACTGCTCACGGTTCCTGTTCTGATCGCGCCGGTCTCCACGTCCCTCACGCCTCGGGGGCGATCTTGGGCTGTGGGCCGACTGGACTGTATCTGTAGCGACGGATCTGCTGTGGATCCTATTTCGCGACTGTGACACAGCTGAATTCTGATCTCCTGCCGCCCGGAGCAATGCTCTGATCTGCAACAAGCCTCTGCCAGCCTCTGACTGAGAAGGCTGAATCGACTCTGCTATACGGGCTGCAGCTGCTAAATTCTGAATCGGAGTTCGATATACCCGAGTCGGTGGCGGAAAGAGCTGACGTCGACTGGATGTTGGAATCCGTTGTCGCGCATGCTCATCGAGTGCTCGCTGGAGGTTCTCCAGTCGAGTGCGCTCAGCCAAGTTGGCCAAGCGCGCGTCCTCTAAGGCACAAGCCTCGGGGGTTTCTCCAACGATAGGAGTGTGCAGCGCATCCATGTTCTGGCGGCGAAGTTCTTCTCTCTGCAGCGAAGTAAGGGGCTCGGGGAGATACTCTTCATGAGTATGCGACGGACCGCCTCCGCCATCGCCTCCGTGGGTGCGGGCAAAGCCGGGAGGACTGCGTGGTTCATCGACCATCAGAACCTCTGCCGCCGGATAACTGTTGTCGCACTCGGATGCAGTCTCTGCGGAGCCAGTCGACAGGTCGAACAGGCCGTAGAGAGATTCATCGGGCTCGATCGCCGCGACTTGGGGGGTGGCTGACTGGCGAGCCACCGCGTGTCTCACCCACCGCTGAAGTCTCGACCGACCGAAGCGCTTGCGCTGGCGGGAAACAAGGAGGGAGGACGACACAGGGGCCGACCGATACTGGGTCGACGGCTTCCGCAAGAGGACGCCGCGGACGCACGCGCGAAAGTGCGTTGCCCCGCGGACAGGGAGCGCGTCGACGTCGATAGAAGCCTCCTGAAGCCAAGCGGAGTCGTCGGCAATGAACATGAGCGCGCCAAGACGGATCTCACGGCCCTCCACCAAAACTCCGCCCGAAACCATGATGAACGGGATCGGAAAAATCGCAACTTCTCCAACAAGTCGCTAGGACACCTGCCCCAAGGTGGGCGCCAACTGTCGTGGTTCTAAGTCTGACAGTAGAATATGGGGGTAGGAATGGAGAGGCAAGATCTTAGCTATGGAGGACTTGTACACACAAGGTTTACGAGTTCTGGCCCTTCGCGGAGGAAGTAACAGCCCTACGTCTCGGAGCCCGGAGGCGGTCGACTGGATTATACGTGTGTGAGTTACAGGGGGTGCGAACCCTTGTCCCGGAAGAGGAGGGTGGCTTATATAGAGTACGCCAGGACCCCAGCTCCCCTCCGTTACGCAGGGTTCAATATACATTAAGAGGAGGCGTTACAGGTAACGCCTGTATTAAGGTGCTACAAATGAGCATTAAGTATGCGAATGAATGCTTGACCGTTGCTGCGCAGAGTGGCTTTAGGTCTTCTGATATGTCGAGTGGTTTGGTGGTCGAGTGACCCGAGTAAGAGAGGTCTCCGAGTGATTGGTAGGTCGAGTGGACTTCACTTCAACACCTTTGTTGGCCCTCTGCTTTTGACTCTTGAACTCCTTAGTTCTTAGGACAAGACTTTAGGTGGGGCGTATAGGTTAGGCCTATTACCCTACCCTAGGTCCGTGTCTACATCACCCTCCATCGTAGTTCTTGAGCATACATCACAACCCTTCACCACACAGAAGAAATAAGAATGGGGAAGGGTCCCCTCGCCTTATGCCTTTTGAAGGTCGGGAAGAAGGGAGTAGTTCACCATTCACCTTGACTTGAAACGTCACGGAATTCACACACTTCATCACTAAAGACACCCATTCCTCAGAGAATCCAAGCTGAAGCATGATTGAAACGTCACAGAATTCACACATTTCATCACTAAAGACATCCATTCCTCGGAGAATCCAAGCTGGAGCATGATTGAAGCGTCACGGAATTCACACACTTCATCACTAAAGACGCCCATTCCTCAGAGATTCCAAGCTAGAGCATGACTCCCTGCAAGTATGGCCACTCAACGCGATCGTTCACCTTCATCATATTAGTCTTGACAGCACAACACCCCTGTTTGCCCTTATTTCTTCTCATGGAATGGATACATTCATAGGCAGTGATGACGTTGTCAGTGATGAGTCGACCAGGAAGAAAAGCGCTTTGCTCCTCTACAATGATATCATCTAGAATCTCCCTGAGCCTATTGTCAAGCACTTTCGAACATTACTTGTAAATCACATTACACAGAGATATAGGTCTATATCAGAGGCAGTAGTACTTTTTTATCTTACTATTCACCAAGCGCAGATGAGTCCGGACTCAAAAATGAATATTCAGGTCGAAAGATGCTGCCCATGCGTAGAGTGGGGCCCTATGGTAGTTCTATACATAGTAGCTCTATTTTGGTATATGTGTCGACCTTGTTTTTCATGGGCATGGACATAGGTACCAATTACCATCATTTTTCAGTCACCTCTCTCTCCCAGCATGAGATCCTGATCTCACGGATGATGTTTTCCCAAGCATGTTTTCCCCTGTTCCTATCCATGCATGTGACTTGCCGTGCGTGGATCGCACGGATGATGTTTCCCAGCAAGTATGTCGCGATCGAGGATATCTCGCGCCAAGATGAGATGAGGTGACAGCTGAGCATGCACGACGATCTGGATCTGAGCTGAGGTCAACTCTCTTGTCGATCATGTGAATGTGAATGTGCATGGCATGCTCTCACAATGATTTGTTTAATAGTTTGTACCATATGTGATATGTGTCACCTGGTCTCACGGTGAATTACAGACAGTCAATATCTCTTGTCACATGCCATGCCACGTCCATGCGCATAGCTCTTTTATCAAAATCGAATCTGATCAACACCGATCGACGCATGCATGCTACTCCTATTTTTTTTAATACAATATAGACACAAACATTCATATACACGTGCATACACTCACCCTTATGAACGTATATACGCACATTCTATCCATATGAGCATTTTCGAAAAACTGAGCCATCATATCATCTTAAAAATTTACGAAGTCATCGTAGACATCTCGTCGTACTCCCTCCGTCCGGTGAAAAGTGTACATTTAATTTTTTTAGAACAAATTATAGAGTTGAGTAAAAAAATGCATTGAAAAAATACAATCCACCATCTCTCTCCTCTTTAATTACCCAACCCCCAATAAGCTAGTAAATGCATGTAGAAATTAAGAAGACCATGTATATAATGCTATTGGTATTGATTACCATGTGATAAGAAAAAATACTTTAAAATGCATTGGAAAGATAGAAGTACACTCTTTTGTGGATAAATTTTAAACCCAAACATACACTCTTCACTGGATGAAGGGAGTAGATGAAAACGTCTTCTCTTACTGAATGCGCTTCGCGGAAAATTTTGAAATAAAATCTAAAAGTAAATGTGAGCACTTGAATCTCGATGAACTGGGCACGCTACTCTAGTTTTTTTTTTGCGAACTAGGGCACGCTACTCTGGTTAGTTGAGTTGTTTTCCCTACAAATAGCAGCCCGATGTCCTAGAATTCCACTTCCACTTCCCACTTCCACTCCAGAAAGCGCAGGCACGATGGACGGCGAGGAGTCTCGACGGTGGCATGTGGTGATGGTGCCGTTCCCGGCGCAGGGGCACGTCGCCCCGCTTATGCAGCTGGCGCGTCTCCTCTACGCCTGCGGCGCGCACGTCACCTTCGTCCACACCCAATTCAACTACCGCCGCCTCGTCGGCGCTAAGGGCGAGGCCGCCGTCCGCCCGCCGTCCGCCACCGCAGCCCGCTTCCGCGTCGAGGTCATCGAGGACGGCATGTCCCTCTCCATGCCGCAGCACGACGTGGCAGCCCTCGCCGACGCCGTGGGCCACAACTGCCCCGGCCCCTTCCGCGACCTGCTGAGGAAGCTCGCCGACGAGGAGCGCGCCGGGGCGCCCCCCGTCACCTGCGTCGTGGCGGACACGGCCATGGCATTCGCGGCAACCGCGGCCAGGGAGGCCGGCATGGCGGACGCGGTCTTCTTCACGGCGTCCGCGTGCGGTCTCCTAGGGTACTCGCAGTTCCACGAACTGTTCAGGCGAGGGCTCCTCCCTCTCAAAGATGGGAGCTGCTTGACCAACGGATATCTGGACACGCCGCTGGACTGGGTGCCGGGGATGAAGAACATGCGGCTCAGGGACATGCCGACCTTCTGCCACACCACGGACGCCGACGACACCCTGGTGAACGAGATCATTGGGCAGATGAAGAGCGCCGTCGGCTCCAAGGCTATCATCCTCAACACCTTCTACGAGCTCGAGAGCGATGTGGTGGACGCGCTTGCCGCCATCTTCCCGCCCGTATACACCGTCGGGCCACTAGCCCAGGTCATCGCCTCCTCCGGCGCCGCGAACGACGGCCTCGACGCCATGGACATCAGCATCTGGCAGGAGGACCCGCGGTGCTTAACATGGCTGGACGGCAAGCCGGACAAGTCGGTGGTCTACGTCAACTTTGGCAGCGTCGCCGTCATGACGGCCGAGCAGACGCGCGAGTTCGCGCTGGGCCTGGCGACGTGTGGGTACCCGTTCCTGTGGGTGAAGCGACCTGACATGGTAAACGGCGACGAAGTGGCGCTCCCGGAGGCGTTCCGCGACGAGCTGCAGCGCGGCGGGGGCCTGGTCGTGCCGTGGTGCCCGCAGCCGGCCGTGCTGAAGCACGCGGCGGTGGGTCTGTTCGTGACGCACTGCGGGTGGAACTCGCTTCTGGAGGCGGTGGTGGCCGGCCTGCCGGTTCTCGCCTGGCCGGTGTTCGCCGAGCAAACGACCAACTGCAGGCAGGTTCTTGAGTGCTGGCGGAACGGCATGGCTCTTCCCGGGAAGGTGGAGAGCGGCGCCGTGTCGGGGCTGGTGAGGGAGATGATGTCCGGGGAGCTGGGGAAGGAGAAAAGGGCCAAAGCGGCGGAGTGGAGAGCTGCGGCCGAGGCGGCCGCCGTGGAAGGCGGCTCGTCGTTGCGCAGCGTCGCCCGACTGGTCAACGATGTGCTGCTGCTCGGGAACAAGTGAGACAGACTGCATCATCCATTGCTCAGTAATTTTTTTTTCGAAAAGGGGGAATTCCCCGGCCTCTGCATCTATTGCTCACTTATGTTACCACTGTTATTCCTGTTTGAACTTTGAACGCGCGCAGTGCAGCGAATGATATGTACACGATGGACTTGGTTGCTGAATTTCTTTTGTTGCACTACAAGGAAAAAAATTATAAGCCGAATGCCTAAAACACTAGGCTTATACCGGTTTGCACTCGGTTTATATAAGCTGCGTACATCTACGTAAACACACGGTTTATAGGATGCTCCGTGATGACGTCATCAATGACTGTTGTTGTAGACACGTGGCAACTATTTTTACCGAGTGTGTATTATAAGCCGAGTGCTTTTTTCTATAAATACCGTATGTGTTGTGTAAACCGAGGGCTTTTTGGGGCACTCGGCATACAGTTAGCTATAAGCCAAGTGCATTTTGTTTGCCATGTGTTATTTCTACCCCATTCGGTTTAGAATGAACGTAAGCCGAGTACCCGATAAAAAGCTCACGGCTTATAGGCTAACACATGGGAAAACGGGATTTTCCTGTAGTGTTGATGCCGTACGTAGAATTCGGTGGGCACGATAGCTACAGGTAGGATGCATGGCACGATATCTAACTTGATATTGGTGCTCACATTTTTCTGAGGGTTCAATGAGAGGAGACGATCCTGTCGACTACAGGTAAGTCTGTAACGACTTCGTCAATCTTAAGATAATGTGCCAACTCAGTCTTTTACTGGTACTTAGAGCATTTCCAACAGGCGCGCGAGGAAAAAAATTGTATTTTTAGTGCACATGGGCCGGTTTGGCGCACTCCAGCAGGTGTGGGAAAATCCGGCGCGCGAAAAAGCGGCAACACGTGCGCGCTCTATAAAACCCGCGCGCGAGCCCGCCAACCACCACTCCATCGCCTCCTTCTTCCCCGCCGCGTCCTTCTTCCTTGCCTCTAGCGCCCCGCCGCCGCCACGCCCTTCTTCCACGCCGTTGTGCCTTCTCCCCCGCCGCCGACACGCCGCTGCGCGCTCGGAGCAGCTCCGGCTACCATGGCGTCCGCGCCCGCCCCTCCAGCATGTATTACACGAAGATCCGCCCCGGTGATATAAGTCTCTGTCTCAGGACGTTCGAGACCGCCCACGAGGCCGCCCGCGCGTATGACGCCTCAACCGGCCATGTTCACAGATGAATTTCTCGAACGCCCAGACACGCTAGTAGGCGCAGGATCTCGCACCACCGCTGCGGCTAGTCACCGACGAGGACCGCCGCATCCAGCATAGGCGGGAGCGCCGCCTCCTCATTGCTGAGGCGGACGAGTACGCCATGGCGGAGTGGCGCCAGCACTTCCCGGAGGATGTTGCCGCCGAGAACGACTTCTGGGTGTAGAGGAGGGCGTAGCGAGCCGCGGATCGGGCGGACAGGCTTGCAGAAGGCATTGGTGATAGCACAGTGTGTACTGGGATCTGCGTAGATCTTTGATGGCAATGATCCTCGGTGGGATAACGCGTTTTTGTTGTCGGACTACACAATCGAGGAGGACGACAACGAGTAGTAGTTTCTAGTATATTTGCATCGTAGTATCGTTTTTATCTATTTTTATTTGTATCGTATGGACTAGTTTGTGGTGTTGGACTTGAACTATGCTATTTGAATTTTATCTATATGTTGTTTCATATTGTTCGTATGTGTTGCATCGTAATACCGGTTGCTCGCATGCGCCAGATTTTGTAGCGCTTGCTGGAGTTGCTTGCGCGCGTCATATTTTACAGCGCCCGTTGGAGCCAGCTCTGCTGCTCGTAAAAAAGGCTATTTCGGCGCTGTAAAAATTATTTAGTGCGTCTATTGAAGATGGTCTTATATATTGGAGTAAGACGTGCGATTGTTCCTTCATAGGGATAAGTGTATGTGTGTGTATGAGTGTGGGTCTGTACTTGTGCTAAAAAACAATGGTGATGGTAAATTAGGACGGAAGGATTGAGTGGCTTCGCTTTGGAAGGTGAGATGTGGCTTGCAAACGTGGGCAAGGGAAGGTGAGATATCGCTTGCAACGCGGGCCCGACGGAAAGCGCCAGCCAGCGGCATGGCCACTAGCTAGCTCTGTCTCTCAGATCATATTCAGATCGACAGGTACTTGATTAATTGATCAGAAGAGCTAGCTAGTTGTCCATTACTCCAGTTTTTTAAGCTCCCGCGCGAGGCACGAGCTGATCCGTCCTGCATGTGTAATGTACGATCGATCCACTTAACTAGGTGATCCGCCGACCTAGCTAGAAATATGTTAGCTGGACGAAAGCACGTGCACGTGCACATGCATATACATTATTGGGCTGGATCTTACTCTTTTTCTTCTATTTTGATATTACAAGTGGGAAGAAGAACAAGTCATCATAGTAGAAAGCTGAGAATGCAGCTCATGGATCACAAAGATCAGAAAACAATAATAAGAATAAAAAGATATACGAAATCAGACTTATTCTCTGGGTAATGTTGGAAATATTAGCACTTTTCCGATTAGACTAATCCACGAGTAAACAGTAAGCATAACATACAAGGTATACATCTCATAGCTATACCTAAGCATACTAGCACGTACAGAACATAGAAGCGAACCATCTATGAGCAGCACAAATACGGCTAGTACAAGTACGCGTAAACGAGGGATGAACAGATCATACCCTCCGGTTGGCCGCCTTCTTCTTGGTGGCGGCGGCGTCGGCCATGGTGTCGATGCATGGGAAGTAGTGGAAGTAGAGGCGAACGGAGTTGGGGACGGATCGGGAGCAGTCGCGTCGAGACGCTCCTCAAAAACCTTATTGCCGTTCTCCCGAGCAGGATCTCGAACGACAGGGTTCCGGAGGCACCTGCTCTCCCGACCAGCCGTGCACGTGGTCGTCGGGATGGGGTCGCCGGAGGCAGCGCAGAGTGAGAAACAGTAGATGAAAGGGACTCGTCGTTCCCGGGAAGGGTCGCACACCCGCGAACGGGGTCGACGAATCCTGGCAACGCAAGTCAGCCCACAGTCCAACGTCTCGGACAATGGCCCTCCTGTTAGCGACTCATTAATTAATCCCTGATTAATTAATTCATTCCTGAGCGGCAAAACTAAGCTCCGGCCCGGCTCATTCCCGCAACCCGTGGCGCGTGCGTGTTGTGGCGAGGCAAGGCGAGGCGGGCGGCAGAGGAGCGCGCGTGAACCACTGCTCTTCCCAAGCTCCCAATGGCAAGTGATAGAGCAACCCTTATAGAGGGGTCTCAACTCTTCTCAACTAGCAAGGTGAGACTAAACTTTCCACCACCTGCCATCTCATACATGGGCCTCAAGATTAACCAGGGATTAGTGTGTTATATGGGCCTAAGCCCATCCATAATCCAACAATCCCCCATCAGATCTTGAGGCACATAAGTTTGTCAATTATTCCAAACAATGTTTGATATATCAGAGATTTTAGTGGAGACTATTAAGTTGAACTTCCACCTAGAGCAATAGGATTCGACTTCTTCACAACTGAACAATGGACTATGTCTTAAATTGTCAGTTTGGCGTGCAGAAGTTTCGCCTATTGTCAGCTGATACGTGGCTGCCGAAGGCTAAACCCCACGGGTGGAGCTTATTAGTCATACTCCGTACCTTCTCATAAGCTTAATAGAGATTACCCAATCTCATAGACTGTGACCAGCAGTTGGGCTCACATAGGTGTGTTCCTCCAAAGAATTCTCTATAGGTTAGCATCTTGCTTACACAAGCTTTGGAACACAATAAGACAAAAGTCAGAATGCCTTACAGAATTGAGAGTATTGTGCATCTCCAACGGAGTGGGTTAATTAAGGATACTCTCCTCAGTTCACCGCTCGATTGTTTTCCCAGATCCTAATTCACGGGATCTCCGATCACATAGGCTGGGTTACCCCCATGGCAACTTACGCGGGTCTCATACCCATCTCCCTCGATGCATTTTCTATCACAACCCGTGATAGCCCTTTCGTAAAAGGGTCTGCCAGATTCTTAGCCGTCTGGATATAATCCAACGCTATCACTCCGAAGTTTCTTGATTTTCTGACATATTTCAATATTATTCTTATGTGCTTTGTGGATTTCATGTTGTCCTTTGAACTCTTAGCTTTGGCAATCATCGTTTGATTGTCACAGTTCATAAGGACAGCCGACACTGGTTTATCAACCACCGGCAAATCCATCAAAAGCTCTCGAAGCCATTCTGCTTCGACGCATGATGTGTCTAATGTTGTGAGTTCTGCTTCCATAGTCGATCTGGTTAAGATCATCTGCTTGCAAGACTTCCAGGAAACAACACCACCACCAAGTGTGAAGACATTTCCACTTGTGGCTTTCATCTCGTCAGCTCAGATATCCAATTCGAATCACTATACCCCTCAAGTACCGTCGGGTACCCAGAATAGTGAATTCCATAGTTCGCAGTACCTTGCAAGTAACGCATCACTCGCTCAACAGCATGCCAATGCACATCTCCTGGATTGGAAACAAACCGGCTCAGTTTGCACACATCAAATGAGATGTTAGGATGAGTAGCACATGCTAGGTACATTAGTGAACCAACCACTTGAGAATATCTCAATTGATCTATAGTCGTGCCTTCAAACTTTCGAATCCACACGCTAGGATCATATGGTGTTGCAGAAGGTTTGCAATCCAAATATCCAAATCGGTTCAAAATCTTCTCAACATAGTGGGATTGCAGAAGTGTAATTCCACCCTCAGAATTTCTCAGTAGCTTGATGTTCAAGATAACATCAGCCATGCCCAGGTCTTTCATCTCAAAGTTATGAGATAGAAAAGCCTTGACCTCCTCAATGACCTTGAGGTGGGTCCCAAATATTAGTATGTCATCGACATATAGACACAGTATATGCGCCCCCACCATAGCGATAGTATACACATTTGTCAGCTTCGTTTACAACAAAGCCAGCAGATGACAGAGTGGTGTTGAACTTCTCATGCCATTACTTAGGCGCTTGTTTCAGGCCATACAGAGATTTCACTAGCTTGCACACCTTTCTTTCCTGACCATTTACTACAAAGCCATCTGGCTGTTGCATGTAAATTTCCTCGTCTAGCTCTGCATTAAGAAAAGCCGTCTTAACGTCCATCTGGTGGACGAGAAGACCATGCGAGGCAGCCAAAGCGAGTAACACTCGAATGGTTGTCAGTCTAGCCACGTGTGAATAAGTGTCGAAGAAATCCTCTTCTTCTTTCTGGGTATAACCCTTGGCCACATGCCTCGCCTTGTACTTCTCAACAATACCATCGGGCCTGAGCTTCTTTTTGAACATGCACTTAAATCCCAATGGTTTGCAACCATAAGGACGATCAGTGATTTCCCATGTCCCGTGAGCCAAGATGGAATCCATCTCGCTACGGACCGCATCCTTCCAGTAGTCAGCATCCGGAGATGCATAGGCTTCTGAAATGGAACTGGGAGTGTCATCATCCACGAGGTACATGAGGAAATCATCACCAAAGGACTTTGCAGTCCTCTGTCTCTTGCTCCTAAAAGGAGCTTCCTCGTCATCCTCCGTGGAACTCTCATCACTTTTATGTTCATAGTATTCCATCAGAATGGCAGGTTTAGGAGTCTCATCATATTCCAATCTAGAAGTGCTTTGCATATCTCTCATGGGGAATATATCCTTAAAGAATGTAGCATCCCTAGACTCCATGATCGTACCGACCTTCACGTCGAGTACGTCGGATTTCACCACTAGAAATCTATAGCCAACGCTATGCTTGGCATAGCCAAGAAAAACATAGTCCACGGTCTTTGGTCCCAACTTGCGCTTTTTGGTTATCGGCACGTTGACTTTCGCCAAACAGCCCCAAGTGCGCAAGTATGAGAGTGTAGTTCTTTTCTTTTCCCATTGCTCATAGGGAGTAGTCTCATTATCCTTTGTGTGAACTTTATTCAGGACATGACATGATGTCAATACAACCTCCTCCCACCATGCCTTGGATAAACCCGATGTATCTAACATGGCGTTAATCAAATCAATTAGAGTGCGGTTTTTCCGTTCGGCAACCCCATTTGACTGAGATGAGTAGGGAGGCGTCCTCTCATGAATAATACCATCTTCCGCACAGAATAAATCAAACTCATTAGAAAAGTACTCTCCACCATGATCAGACCGAACTCGTTTTATTTTCTTCTCAAGTTGGTTCTCAACTTCAGCCTTATAGACTTTAAAGTAGTGTAGAGCCTCATCCTTAGTATTTAACAAATACACATAGCAGAATCTAGTGGAATCATCAATTAGAGTCATGAAGTATTTCTTTCCACCTTTAGTCAACACACCATTCATCTCACAGAGATCTGAATGTATGAGCTATAATGGTGCCAGTGTCTCTCCTTCGCAAG